GCCACATCGGCTAAGCAAAACACAACAGATTTTTGTATACTGATTTGGTGCCTAATAACTTGACTCTATTTGTTTATTATTTCTAATATTTTTTTGGTGGTTTTTAGGGTTTTCTATAAGTAAAATCATGTCATCTGCAAATAGTGACAGCTTTACTTCTTCCTTTCCAATTTGGATGCCTTTTATTTCTATTTCTGCCTGACTACTCTCTCTACAACTTCCAATACTATGTTGCATAACAGTGATAAGAGTGGGCATCCTTGTTTTGTTCCTGATATTAAATGAAAAGCTTTGTTTTTCACTGTTGAGTATGATACTAGCTGTGGGTTTGTCACATATGGCATTTATTTTGTTTAGGTACTTTCCTCTATACCCATTTATTGAGATTTATTTTTATCATAAACTAATGTTGAATTGTTTAAATGCTTTTACTACATCTCCTGAGATGATCATACGATTTTTTATACTTCATTTTGTTAAAGTGATGTGTCACATTGACTGATTTGCAGATGTTAAACCATCCTTACACATCATTGAACTAAATTCCACAAGATCATGGTATATGATCCTTTTAATATATTGCTGCATTTGGTTTGCTAATATTTTGTTGAGAATTTTTACATGTTCATCAATGATATTGGCCAGGATTTTCCTTTCTTGTGTGTGTTTTGTCCTAGTCTGGTTTTAGTATTAGGGCAATGTGGTGCTCCTGAAATGAATTGGGAAGCAGTCCTTCCTCTTAAGTTTTTTGGAAGAGTTTCAGGAAGACAGATATTAAATCTTTGAATGCCTGGTAGAATTCACCACTGAAGCCATGTGGTCCTGAACTGTTGGTTTTTAGGCATTTTTTTGATGTAGTTTCAACTTTGGAAGGTGGTACGATTCTAGAAATTTATCCATTTCCTCTAGATTTATAATATGTTGGTGCATATGTGTTTATAGTAGTCTCTTATGATCCTTTGCATTTCTGTGGTAGCTACTGTAACTTCTCTTTTGTTTCTGATTTTAGTTATTTGAGCCTTCTCTTTTGTTTTTTTCTTTAGAGAGTCTAGGTAAAGGTTTATCAAATTCATTTATCTTTTCAGAATAACACCTCTTAGTTTCATTGATTTTTTTCTATTGTGATTTTTTTGTGTCTGTTTTATTTCCACTGTGATTTTTATTATTTCTTTCCTTCTACTGACTTTGAGCTTCGTTTGTTCTTTTATTCTAGTTCTTAAGGTGTAAGATTAGAGTGTTTGAAATTTTTCATGTTTTTTGAGGTAGGCCTGTATTGCTATAAGCTTCCCTCTTGGTATTGCTTTTCCTGCATCTCATACATTTTGGTATTTTGTAATTTCATTTTCATTTGTCTCCATGTACTTTTTAGAATTTCTTCTTTTTTTGTTGAGCCAATAAATTGTTCAGTAGCATGTTCTTTAATCTCTAGATATTCTTTATTTTTCCAGGTTTCTTCTCATAGTTGGCTTCTAGTTTCATACCATTATGGTCAGAAAATATGATTTCATTTTTCTTAAATTTGTTGAGACTTGTTTTGTGTCCTAAAATCTGGTCTATCCTTGAGAATGTTCTGTATACACTTAAGAAGGATGTGTATTCTGTTGCTTTTGGAGGGACTGTTTTGTATATCTATTAGGTACCTCTATTCTAACTGCCACTTAAGCTCGCTGTTTCCTTGTTGACTTTCTGCCTACATGATCTACCTACTGACATAAATGGGGTGTTAAAGTCCCCCTACTATTATTGTGTTGCTGTGAA